AGCTTTAGTGCACCGACGGACAGTTGAATTGTTTTTTGAACTATTTCAAATTATTTGTGGTTATGTATTTTAAATACCGACGTACAGTATTTCGCTATACTGACACACAGCAACGCGTTCGCGCAAGTCTATTTCACAAGTTAATATTGAATGCTGACACACAGCAAAGCGTCCACGCAAGTCTATTTTACAAGTTAAAATTGAATGCTGACACACAGCAAAGTGTCCCCGCAAGTCTATTTCACAACTAAGAATGCCGACATACATCAAAGCGCTGGCCCCATAACCTCTTGGTTTGCCTTATTGAAACAGACTGAATATTTGAATGAATGTAAAAAGAATATAAACTGAATAGAACGAAGAAGAGATGAGGATAACGAAATAGTGATGGGAAGTGTTGCCACAGGTATTTATTTCCAACAGTTTTCAATGACACAGGATACGCTACCATTACCTTTGTTGAAGAGATTCTATAATGTTGAGGTCACTGAGTGTCATTGCTGGCTCAATTCCAGCTCTCACCCCGGACTCACACATTGTCGAATCTTCACTGATGGCTCCAAAACTGACTCTGGGCAAGTTCTGCGGTCTTTTTCGAAATTAATGGGGACCATGGACTACGAGGTGGAAAATAGGTGGAGAGGAAAGACGTTACGTATCTGCGGTGGCAGCCAAGCTGTACTTAAGGCATTAGTTAGCCTTTTAATTAAGTACTTACAAACTAGTTTTGGCAATGCAAGTCTCGATGTTAGTAAACATAACCATCTTGCTTTGCTCTTAGTGTGCTTCTGTTCCGGTTTTGCAAGAATTAGGTATAAAGACATTTGGCCGCGATGTGTTGAGAGACGAATATCTGAGCTCTACACCCAACCTTCTGCTTAGGTTTATTCGTAAATCGTGCAGATTTAACAAAAATTAAAATGGACATGAAAGGAGCACAATGTAGTCTGAGTGCTGTTTTCTGCACGCGTTGTTTTTTGTCTGGTTCCTCCAAAAAAAGTGTTTTTTTAAGACGGAGTTCGCCAAAACTCCCCACTGAGGAATAAAACTTCCATCTTCCTCCTCACTACAACTCAGTTCAAAAGCAATCAATGTTGATTTCCTCTTTTGTGAGTTAAAAAAGAAAAAACGTTGTGTAACTAAATTCATCACACCCATGCCACTCAAAATATTACTTCTCATAAAAGAGCGTTCTGCCTCTTTTGCTTATCTAGCTTTCATAACAGTAATTTTCATCGTTGATAAACTCATTAAAGCAGCAGTGAGTGATAAATATTTTTCGCATCACTTTAAAACTTTTGAGTGATAAAACTTAAAGTGATGCCATAGAAACACACAAATAAACTATTTTACAAATACACCACATGAAAATTCAAGAATGAGCCGAAAATGTGAGGAGTTTATGGTGAAGAGAATGTAAAAACACTAGCGATCGGAGTTTTCTTAAAACATATGACTCCTCAGAGCGAAATTTTAAAACTTGCAAGTGTGTTATCACAATATTTCAATAAATATAACACAAGCAAATATACCTCTTTTTTTGCCACTCCGAATTTAGGTTTGGAGCTTAGCGGTGATGCAAATTTCCATCGTGAGATCTAATCTTAAAATTTTTTTAAGAGCTTTGGGAAAATTTTTGAAATATAGCTCCAGGGCTCCACCAAAACCAGTTTTGGAAAGGGTCTACGAGAAGAATAAGTTTGGGAACCTCTGGTCTATAGCTATTGCTAATCTTCAAAATAATAATAATATTATTTTGGAACGGCGTATCAAAAATTTAACTGATTTGACCACGGCAGTATATCGAAATTACAGATTAGATCGCACATTTCTTTCTTTCTGGCATTTCCTCAATTAGGTTTCACTTCTTCCGCGCGTAGGGACTTCACGCACTGAGTTTTTTATTACAAGGTGGTTCGTTTTGTGAGAGTCAACAATGAAGTCTCTACGATGAACAGAACCCGAGATATAACAATTTGAAGAAGTACATGATTATTTAGTCAGAATCACGAAAAGATCCAAAATTTGACAGATCACATATCCGAAGAAAAAAGGAAAAATGTGAAGCCAATCGAAATTCTGACACCAAATTTGGTGTCCGATATGAAAAAGAATGCCTCATATATATGATATATATAACACCGTGCGACAGTGAATTTTACACACGAAAAAATCAATATATTCACAAAACTGGGGGCCAAATATAGTAAAACTGCGTTTTTAGTTTTACCCTCTGACGTCAGGATTTTTTTAAAAGGACTTTGAAATTAGAATATGATTGAATAAAAAAAAAATCAAAAGATGCGGTGCATTGTAGAGTAACAATATGGGTATCAACTAAAAGGATAAATTCTGTAGAATAGAAAAAAAATTAATTTTTGGGTGCACCAGGACGAATAAGTATTGAAAATGTCCTTTTGAAACTTTCTCCTTGAATATCCTTGGAAACTTCTAATATTTATTTTTGAAAAAAAAAAGAAATATGTCAAGGGGTAATATGTTAACTACCACATCCTCATATTTCGTCATTCTAACTTTATTAGTTTTAGATAAAAAAAATTTACACTTCTCTTTATAAGATATTGATAGTTACATTATACATAAATGAAGATACTGGCATCATTATAATGGAACCATGTATGCGCTCTAAAAGGCCAAACTGGCCGTATAATATATCTACAGTTTAAATACTTTAATTGTTTTGTATACAAAGGCGTAGCCTTTCATCTAGGGGACAGGAGTTTATATAGAGGGGAAAAATGGTTTTAATTATATTTTTTTTGTGTACATAAAACGAAATTTTTGGGTTTAAGAAAGTATAAGTTTTCTGGTAGCCTTTACAACCAATACCAATGTTTTAAAAATCGGTTAGTCATTTTTTTTTGTTTAAAATATTTTTATTTATAAAAAAAAAAATGTATTCTTTGCCTTCAAATGGTTGTTCTCAAATTATTGTACACGAAGTATACAAATATGCACACCAGAAGAAAGGGGGTTCAATCGCCTTTACAACGACACCAATTAATTTAATGTTAATTTTTTTTTTTATAAAAAAGGTATTTTTTCCTTTTAAATGTTTTTTCTCAGAGTTTTACATACAAAGTATACAAATGTGCATATCAGAGGAGAAGAAAGGGGTCTAATCACGTTTACAACGATACCAACTTTTTAAAAATCAGTTCAAAATTGTTTGAAATATAAGGTTTTTAATTTTTCGAAGACCCGACCTTTGCCCCTTTATACCACCTGTAATATAAGTTTGCAAAAAAAAGTTATAACCCATTTAAATAAGAGCAAAAGGCGGTCTACGACTGTATTTTTAGTTTTTTAGTTATTTACATATAATAAAAAATAATAATTTTTTACCAAAGATTCTATTTCGAACTTCGAAGGCCCATATCTCAATTTCGGAGGCTAACTTCGAAAAACGGAGAAATTACTTTTTTTTACCTATGATTCAATCTCTTAAAAAAATTGGTTTGGTCCAATACCCAACGAAGTGCTGTACAGTGTAATGATTCTAGTATCCTCATTTATGTATGTTGTAACTATCAATATTTATTTATTTATTTATTTATTTAGTCTACAAAAAAATGTTTTCTTACAGACAATTGGGATAAAAAGATTTAGATATTTAAGTATGTATGATACATTACAGAGTGAAATAATTATAAATATTAACTTGTAAAGATAATAATGGGATACAATAGCAATTTGGGTAGCTGGCGAGGCCTTGTCTCCAGTCTACTTTTGTGTGCGGCGGGCGGAAAGACCTAGTTTCCGCTCCGCGCTGTTTACAGGCCGTTGATCATGGTCGGAAAGGCCGAACTTCCGATCCATGTTCCCGTAGTCATTACTTTATAAAGAGAAGAGTAAATTTTTTTTATCTAAATCTAATAAAGTTAGAAGGACGAAATTCGAGCATGTGGTAGTTTATATATTAGTCCTTGTCATAAGTTTTTTTTTTTAATAAATATTGGAAATTTCCAAGGATATTCAATTATAAAGTTTTAAAAGGACATTTTCAACATTTATTTGTCCTGGTGCAACAAAAAATAAATTGTTTTTTTAATTTTATAGAATTTTTCCTTTTAACTGATACCCATATTGTTACTCTACAATGCACGAAATCTTTTAAATATTTTTTTTATTCAATCCCATCCAAGAAATTTCAAGTCCTTTAAAAAACAATCCTGATGTCAGAGAGAAAAGTTAAAAACGCAGTTATACTATATTTGGCTCCTAGTTTTGTGAATACATTGATTTTTCCGTGTGTTTTAATAATTTTTGGTTTTTGTCGCACGGTGTAATATAACATAGAATAATAGTAGTGTCGGCCGCTGTGGTGTAGTGGTAAGCAGTGCGCGATTCCACTCCGCAACGCCTGGGTTCAATCCCTGGTCAAAGCAACATCGCAAAAAATATAGAGAAAAGGTTTTTTCTTAACAGCGGTCGTCCCTCGGTAGGCAATGGCAAACCTCCGAGTGTATTTCTGCTATGAAAAACAGCTTATCATAAAAATACAATCGCCGTTCGTAGTCGGCCAAACACTAACATATGTGTAAGCGCCAATCTATTATTATTATTATATTAATAGTAGTGTTAGAACTGTAATATTTTATTTGATTATTTGTAGGGCTGCATTTTATAATTCTTGTATGCCACAGTGTCTGAATTTCGTTTATTTTAATTTGGTAGTAAATTAAATTATATCCCGGGATCCCGAGGGCTTGATACTGGGATTTCGGAACTCCAAAAAGGGCTCGGTACTGCCGTGATTCGGGATCTCGAGCCAGGTCCTGTAGCTGATTTTTTTCGAAACCGATTGAAAGCTGTTCCTGTACTTGAAACGGTTTCGGGTTCGTTCGTTTTCAGGTCAAAATAAAGTTTAAGCTTTCGGTTTAAGGTTTGAAAAGCGAAACGGTTTTAAACTGATACGGGTTCGGTTTCATTCTTTGGTATTTTCTATCTTTAACCTTTTCTTCAAACTTTTTTCTTAGACAATGCAGAGGAAGCTATGGTGAATAAGACGATCGCCGAATTGGGTAATTTTACACAGCTGTTGGAAACGGGAGGGAGTTCGTTGGGATGCCTTACCGATACATCTCCAAGTGTAGCATTTTTAAAATCACAAATACAATACCATTCTCCCTCCGAAAATATAAGCTTAGCTACCAACGATGTTGTATCCCCACCACAATTACAACAACATCAGTATATTCAAGAAAGGCGCAATATGCTGTTAGGTGGTCCAAGTACTAGTAGCGCAGCTCAAGCCATTCTACAAAAACAGCAAGCGCAACAGCAGACTATTCATCTTCAAAATCCCCAGCGCCACCTTGTACAAGAACAGCCACTATTTAAGCCTCCTAATACTGTGTGCCCTATGGATGGCAAAGGACCAGTTCCACCACTGACTTCAACCTTAAATAGTGGGTCAAATGGTCGCGATTATCCATTCGTGAGTATGAGACAAGCTCGTGTGCTGCAGGGCCGTGGAAATGCAATGAACAACTGCTTAGTAAGTAACAGCCCAACATTTCCTTCAAGCAGCTCACTCACTTTACAGACGCCGCAGAATGGGCAGATGGAGATTGGAAGTGGGGTGGGATTGAAAAATAATAAAAGTTCTCCAACCACGGAGATTTTGTCAACATCACCAATTACATCCGGTAATAAATCACAGTTTTTGCAACCTCCTCCACCCCCATATCCAGGTATGGGGAGCACAATTTCAAACGTCATGAGCGAACCAGCCGCTCAAATGAACAAATCAGTGCAGAATTACTTACACAAAGCAGTTGCAAGACAGCAAGTTGTAGCTCATCCGGTAGCTTCTTCGACAATTTCCAACAATATAGCTATTTCATCACCACTACTTGTTAATTTATTACAAAATGATGGGAGCACTATTACAAATCAAGCTAAATTATCGCCACAAACACCTTTGATGCAACATCAAAATCCGTCGTCATTATCATCGGTGAGTTCTGGTCCCCAGCAATCTCAAAACCAAAATCAGCAATTAGGGAGCACATCTGTGCGTTCACAGTCATTAGCTACTGGCGTTATAACAGAGCAAAAAAAACGCCAACAACATTCAAAACTGATACATTCTGTTTCCGACAATCCATTTACTGCGGGTATATCTTCACACATCACATTGTCTTTATCCCCCAGTGCGGATTCGAGTATGCGGAGTGTACAGCAGCAACAAACTCAACAAATAATGACGATTCCTGGAAGTAATTTATTCAGCCAACCACATCAATCAAACTTTCAACCACAGCATATACTATCGCAGCAAGGTAGTTTTATGCGACAACAACGCCAGCAACAGTTGCAGGCAGCTGCTGTTTCGATAGGAGGTGTACCATCTCATCGTTTTATACCACATCAGCAGCAGGCACCGTCGTTCCAACAGTCTCAGCAACATCATCAAGTGACCCAGCCATCCGGTGTTGGTGGAGTCATGTTGACAAATTTACAACAACAGCAGCAAACACTTATTCGACAAGTTCGTCCTGGTGATGGAATTTCAGGACAGTTGGTGGTGCAAAAACAACCACAAACACATCAGTTTCTTTCGTCAGGTGGCATGTCGCCTACTGAATCGCATTCACCTGTTTCTAGCCACCATTCCATGCATAGTCCATTAATGGGTCCACACTCTCAACAACTAGTGTCTCCTTCAACAACGCCAGTTCAATCCCCTCACTCCCACCCACCCCAAGCACATAAAATCCCAGTTCAGCCTCAACACCAAATGCAATTACAACAACAACAATTACAAAAACAACTGTCAACGATTATTGGACCACCAACAGCATCATCCCACAATGATAACATTCTTCATAATACACAAGCATTTTTGGAGCCAAGTTTGTGCCCGACAGGATCTAGTACTGGTAGTAGGGGTATAATAACAAATATATTGCCTCCACCTCCTGATTATAGTCAGACAACTATTGCAACATGCACGTCACGTTGGCCTGCATTGAACAAAGCAATGGATTCAGTTACGAAAAGCAGTTTTCAGGAATTTACTCGTTACCAAATGCAGTACAATCTGCAGCAGCAACAGATCAATAATAATCAATTTCAATCACAGGTTCTTAAACAAGATCCGCAGAAGCAGCAAATAATCGACCAAGTAACCAGCTCTGAAGATGATACACTTGTGGAAATAGTGGGAGTGCCTCCTTTAGATAATGTTACAGCATCAAATGGATTATCAGATCCTCTGATAACGCTGACAGATTTTGAAGCTTTGACACCAAATGATCTTGATGCTTTGTTACCGACATTGAACTGCGATTTAGATCCTTCTTTTAGTTTGGACGATAAAAATGAACTGGAATCACTTTTGCAAGATGCCAAGGATCTAGACTTGGATCTAATTGAAGAAAATTTATCTGCCGTGGGTGTAGATCTTGACGAGACAGCTGCCGCAGCATCTTCACTCCTAGATGCAGAAGCAACACGAATATCTCCAAATGTCACACTTACCTCAATGCAGTTTGCACAGCAAAATGTGCAAATACCGCAAAACATGGAGCAGCAAGCAACATTCATAGGAAGCAAGAGCTGTATGTCAATTCAAAACAGTCCATCGCAACTGCCACAAAATAATATTCCACAAAATGGAACTAAGCCGAAAGAGAATTTAGATGTGCAAAGTAACCAATCTAATCAGAAATTGCAAGTAAAACAAAAACAATTCCCTCATTCAATACTACCTTTGCAGCAAGCTAACCTGCAACAACGGGCAGCTTTGATTCCACAGCAAGAAGATTGCGTCGTAGATGCAAATCATCTTCGTTCAAATAGCGCTGCTTCAGTTTCTTCAACTAACCAGAAGCAATTTCTTATAAATCCTCTAACTGGTGAAATGGAGCAAATGCAAAGCGATGATAGTGAAACTGAAGCAGAACAAGAGACACTACAATTGAGTTCCACAACGACAAAACCACATATTGAGTCGTCTTTATCAGACGACGTAAATGTTAATAACCCAAACGAAAACTTTTCTAACTCGCTTTTCTTAGCAGATGACTCAAATTCTTGTGGAACCACCGTGTCAAAAGTTTTGGCGAATGATCAAAACAATGGAACCATTATCGGAACGGGAAGTGATAATGAACGCTCCCCGGATTCGTCACTTTCAACCAAATCGAATCGCATTGCCAAACCTGTAAAACGAGATGGTAGCCGGTTGTCTAACAAATCTTTTACTTCGGTTAATAGCACTGGTGAATACGGTACAAGTAAATCACCTCGTCCAAATGTAATTGCAATAACGACACCGGCGACTTCGATAACAGGTGCAGTTGGGACGACTGGCGGCGTTTCACAGAGAAAATCAAAATCAAATTTACTACGTGAAAAACAGCAAAACGGCGTGGGAGATGGGAAACAAGATGTAAATATGAGCTCTGGTGCTACGAAGCAAAAAAAAACAAAAGGAAATGCCAGAGCAAAGGTTGCTGCTTTGTTATGTACAAGATCAGTTTCTGCTACAACAGTATCAGGGCCGATATCCACATTAGCAGGCTTAAGGGCTCATGCTGCTGAGATACCTAATACTAATGAAAAAATAAAATTGCGGTTAAAGTTGGAGAAGAAGGAGCCGATATCTCCGGCTTATAAGGTAGATGTTTCTTTTGTTGCTTCAACAAAGCTTTTATCATCGGCGGATTCTGCAAGCAACAATTTAGGTACAGCGACGCAAAGTAAGAGTAACACCAGTACTCAACTTAACATGAATATAATAAAAAATGCTAGTCTCACGCCAACGTCCTTACAACAAATTGAAACAGAGCAATCTCATTCTATACAACATCAACAAATTGCTTTCAACAATTTTACGCTTCCACAAACATCCGTTAGTGTAGCACAAACTCCAACAGAAGAACTACGTGTGCCTCCATTACACATCAGTCTGAGAGGTGGAAAAAACTCAATTGTTATTAAAAATTTTCGCAAAGATCAAAAAAAGCCTCCGCATTTGCTAAATATACCAACTGTTGCATCGGGTGGAGTTAGTGAAGATGATTTAAATCATACAACAAATAAGCAATTAAAGCTACAGACTTTACAACTATCCCAAGTTGCTACCGAGGATATGACTCAAGAAAAAATGCCACTCTACGGAACCACGGTTTCGACGTCATCAGTTTTTAATAGCAACAGTGAAAACTGCAACAAATCCATGACAGTAATGACGTCAACACAACCGCTAACACTAACGACTACCAGCGGAGAAGTTACAACTATAACCCCATCGGTGTCTATCTCGTCAATGGTGGGGATGTCAACAGCAAAGCCTTCCTTCCTGGGTAACAAGAATGGAGTAACAATAAGTGCAATTAAATCCCTTGAATCAAAAGCTGGCAGCGGTTCAAGTGGCAGTAAAAGTATAGTAGTTGGATCGACAAATACGGGTACGTTAAGTTTTCCATCTCAACTGATGCACCAGTCGCAATATCAAAAACATGTAGGGTCAGTAACTTTAACCCAACAGCAGCTACATTCATCTAAAGTTCTACCAAGTATGCCTGGTAATATAACACTCAATGCAATATCGAACAGTAGCACAATAAACTGTTCTAGTGATAGTTCTGTAAATGTAGCGAATCGTGTCATTAATAGTTTGAGTTTAGCGACAGCGGCGACGATTACATCTGTTGGTGTTGGTGTTGGTGTTGGTGGCGGCAAACCGCTGACAAAAATTAATAAACCGCCATCTTATTTAACAGCGCTTCAACAACTTCAACTTCAAAAGCATCAACAAAAGCAGTTAAATAAGCAAGCCCAACAATTTGGGGCTCTTAATGATTGTCATACAGCCCAGCAGACTATTGTAGCAGTGGCGACCATGTTGCCAAGCGCAACAACCCTAAAGCGAGTGACAGTCCCGAATTCGACGGCAGAACAAACAAATTTAGTTGTCAAAACAGAAAATAATACTTCGCCGACAGGAACAAATGAACCTACGGATGTAAAATCACCCACAGTCATCTTACCAACATCCTTGACGAATACAGTTGGTGTTGAAAAACAAGTTCAAGAAACTCCACGAAGCGAAATTGGTTCAACGATTTCAACGACTGTAACCAATGGATGTACCAACGTTAGTAGCATTATAGTTTCTAGTAGTCAAGGCCTAGTTATCAGTACTGCCTCATCTGCTCTACCCAATGTTATGTTACGAAATTCACCTGCAAGTAACGGAAGTGGCACCCCTGGCCATGGCAACGGCAATGGTACTGGTGAAGATAGTGGTATTGAGTCAATGGATGCTCTGTCTGAAAAAAGCCCGCATCAACAGTCGTCAAGCAGTCCGATACAACAACAAATAAGCAACGTTGAAAAACCCGCCACCTTATCAATAGTTTTAAAAAACTCTTCGGTAAATGAGGCAAAGAAAGAAAACTCAGAATTAATAGAAGTGACATCTCCAATATTAAAGGATAGTATTGAAGATAAAACAGAATTGAATTCAAACTCGTCAAGAAAGCATACATTGCATGATTATGCAGGCGGTGAAATGGAAAACGCGTTGGCCAAAATGGAAGGGTTTAATGAAGATTTTTCGGATGCTGCAACAAACGTGTCAACTCCTGTTAGAACAGTTGCGAAGGCTTCTTTGTCATTTGCGAAAAGCGAATGTACGTGGTCTACTACGCCTCCGAAAATGAAAACAATTATTAATGGAGAACTTAAAAATGATAAAGTTGAAAGTAAATCTCAATGTGCTATTGGGAAAACATTTGAAGAAAAAGTGGAAATAGGAGTAAATGATCGCAAAAAAAATCAAGCGATCTGCAATGATGATACGCCTGCTATCAAATTTACTGATTACAATCTTGCTCCAGAAAATATAAATAAAATTCGTGAATCTAAATGCCAAGGAAATGCATTAATTGACATTGAAGATAAAGTTGGGATTGAATTTCAAAAAAGCCGCCATGAATTGTCTTTGCAACCACAACGACAAGACTCTGCCTTTCCGCCTATTTCCATTGAAATTCCGACTCAGATTGAATCTGAATGTAGTCGCATTCGCACACGTGCTAGTAGTCGGTTAGCGAGCCCCTTGGATGCAAATAAAGCAAGTCCAACGACAACATCGGTAGAAGAAATTACAAATCCTTCTGTCGCTACTAGCAATAAGTATTCCCTTTTAAGAAGTGACAACGCCAGCCCACAACAAAACGCTGGATGTGGAGTCAATGGTTCACCACAGCTGGGTACGATATCTGTGCCTGGTACTTTAAATAAGCGAAAACGTCGGGAATCTGAGGAACTTACAGAAGAAAAACGAATGCGAACAAGCAGAACTATTACTGCACCTCACAACCTTCTTAATAATGGTAGTGACCTAAAAAAGGCTGACCTATCTTTATCAAGTGATATGCAAGATACAATGACGTGCAGCGACTTAATAAAAAATGAAGAGTCTTCTGACTCAGACGAACCTTTAATTGAGGTGGCCGAAAAAGTACGCAATTTGAAAGTCGGCAATGCTACTGTTAACAGTAATGACTCTACTATTCACCTCCCAGTAGCGGATGTAGCTGAAAAAAATGAGTTTTGCAACATACCTGGACTAGAAAAGGCAACTCGCAGTAGTCGAACAATAGTCAATCAAAACAGTAAGTATTATTACATTACGTATTTAAGTTTTCATAAGTATAACAAATTATTATTTTTTAAAATTTCAATTCAGAAAATTCAATATGTTTTAAGCTTCGCAAAAAACTCGATTGCACACACATATTTTTCTTTCCACGTCATAATCTTCAAAGAAAACCTGCCGTTGTGTCCCTAAACGTCAACAAGTTTTTTTGCATTGTATGGAAGGTTTCCTTATCTGGCTCAAGTTGATCCAAGTAAAAAGCACATTCAGCATTCATATTATCTTTAAGCGAGTATTTACATTTACAATATCGGATTGCAGCGAATTTTCGCGTTCCTAACGTCATAAATGAAGCGCTTTCGAGCCAAGAATACAACTAAATCTTAATTCCAAGTTGATCTGCAAACAGAAGAACACTTTAAAAAGCACTCTCAACGATCCTTTACACTTGTGCAGTAGGTTGGGTATCGATTAATAGTTTGGTTTTATTTTCTTTGTTACAGTAAAATGATGTAAGATCAGTTGACTGTTGTTCCTGGATATTCAAAATATGTTTTATACAGATTCATTATTACATTTTTACGAAATTTTCTTTAGGGTGTTTTTTGGGCTCGCTGATTACGAATCTGAAGTCTGATTTGGAAAAGTCTAAATGACGGATTCAATATTGCGGATGATTTTTTAAAAAAAGTTATTACATTTTTAGGAGTCTGTCTTTAGTGGTGTTTTTGGCCACGCTGATTACGAATCTGAAGCCAGATTTTGAAAATTCCAAATTGCGGATCCAACCTCATTGCAACACGGGATAAGTACCTTACATGCCAAGATAAGAATTTTCGAGTTGTGTTTACATATTTCATATGGGTTTCTTATCAAACAATGGCAAATAAGATCCATGTAAAATAAAAAGGTATGTGCAAAACGAAAAGCTACAATTCAGAAAACGCTTTGGGAAAATCTAAGCTGATAAAGCTAAGCCAGGTGGATCTAGTAATAGCCGCTAGAACAACAACGACAACAACAGTAATAGTAATAGCGGAAATGGTTTACAAGTCATCGTGCAGTACAAGCGCTATAAATAGCTCAATAAATTACCAAAATATGCTCTTAAATATGCTAGATCAATGAAGTTTTATTTAATTTTGTTAGTATTTTTATTCGACAATCTTGGAATTACAGTATAAGAAACATGAATTTTTAAATTATCAATCGAAAATTACCTCTTGTTATTTAAAATTGTGCAATAATTAGAAAAACTATGTGTATAAAGTTAGCGAAACAACATCAAGCAAAAAATGTCGCATATACCCAAGAATTTGCCGTTTTTTCGCCGTTAATTAGTTGTGAAAAAATAATTTTGTCGCTCTGGTATTTTTTTTTAGATATAAGGTGTCTTGCTAACTTTATATAAAGTTAGCGAAGCACCCCTCCAAACTCAAAGACAAACGACTAGGCTTTATGTCAAAATTTGCCGCTTTTTTGCCGTTCTAAGAAGTGAAAAAAAAATAATTTTTTTTAAATAAAAAAAAATGTTTCCATTTTTTTTTCAATGTTCAATAATTTTTAGAAGAAAAGGATAATAATATAATAGAAAAGCAAACCCGGTTTCTTTATGTACCACTTTGAAATTTAAACAAACAATAATCACCATGTTTAAAATTCAAAAAACTAAGAAGCTTTCTTATCACAATCAAACGACAAAATCAAAAACAATTCAAACGGCAAATTTAAAACAATTCAAACGGCAAATTATCCAACAAAAAAATAATTATTTTTAATATTTTTAACCAATTTTTAAACCGCTTTCCAAGTGCCTATTTTTTATACCCGAGCGCACTTGTGCACAAGGGTATTATAACTTTGTTCACATAACGGTTGTTTGTAACAGGCAAAACGAATCGAGATATATATAGACAAATGTATACATAAATGATCAGAATGAAAAGAGAAATCGATTAAGCGGTGACTGTCTGTCCGTCCGTCCGTCCGTCTGTCCGTCTGTGCACACGATAACTCGAGTAAAAATTGAGATATCTTAATGAAACTTGGTACGTGAACTTCTCTTGGGCGTAAGACGGATGGTATTGAAAATGGGCGAAATCGGACAATAACCACGCCTACCTCCCATATAACGGTAATTTTCAGAAATACGAAAACTGCGATATTTTAGTAACTACTGAAGAT